CAGTCAGTTCTGACTCACAGCAACCATCTGTAGAGGGTTTCCAAGACTGTAAATCTTTACAGGATCAGAAAACCTCATCTTTCTTCCTTGGAGTGACTGATGGGTTTGAACTGTCAACCTTGTGGTCCAGTGCATATCCTGCAGTGCCATCTGTGCTCCCACCATTTACAATAGTAGTAAAAAACAAAAATACTTTGAAATACATCTGATGGAAGATGTGCAAGACTTCTACATTGAAAACGACAAATATTGCTAAGAATAAAATTTAAAAACCAAGATAAAGAGAAAACTATATACCATATTTATAATTTGGTAGATGTCAGTTCTTCTCAAATTATATGGTAAATAAAATCCTAATAAAAATTTCACCACGCTTCTTTTGGGAAGTTGGAAAGCAGATTCTAAAATCTGTAGGAAAATCCAAAGGACCTACAGCAACCAAGACAATTTTGTAGAACAAAGCTAGAAGACTTGTATCACTAAATAACAAAAATAACGAGATTTACTATTGTTGTTAAGGTGTCAAGCTGGTTCCGACTCAAGGTTTCCAAGGCTTTAAATCTTCTTGGGAGCAGAAAGCCTCATCATTCTCATGCAAAGCGGTTGTCAGGCTCAAACTGCAGACCTTGTGGTTCACAGCTCAGTGCTTATTGTATGAAGCCACCACACTACAGTAATTAAAGCAGTGTGGTATTGGTGTAAGAATAGACATATAGATGAAGCAGAAAAGAGTCCAGAAATAGACCCACAATAAATAGTTCACCCAATTTACCACAAGGATACCACTGAATTTCATAGAGAAAGTATAGTCCTTTAAATAAGAGTATTTAGTCTACTGGACATTCTTAATCCAACCTCAAAGCATACATGCAAATGAACCACAGATCTAATTATGAAAAGGTTAAATAAGTTTCTAGAAAAAAAATTATTAGAAAGTCTTAACATCTTGAGATCATTAAAGCTTTCTTATGTAATACATAAAAAGCACTAACCATAAAAGATGTGATTGATACATTGGATTTTATTAAAATTAAGAGCTTCTGTTTATCAACTTCAACTCATATATTGCTGATGGGCATATAATTGGTAGAACCACTTGAGAAAATTGGCAGTATCTACTAGTAAAGTCCTAAGGAGTCCTGGTGTGGCGCTGTAGGTTAATGCGCCAGACTGCAAAGCTGTTTGAACTGCAAGGTTGATGGTTCAGACTCACCAGCTGCTCCTCGGAAACCCTATACGGGGTCACTATGGGCCAGAATTGACTTGATGGCACTTAACAACACCACTATAGTCCTGGTGTGGTACTGTAGGATAAGCACTGGATTGAAAGGTCAAGTTGAACCTCAAGATCATTATGGGTTAAAACCAACTTGATGGCACTTAACAACAATAACTAAAACTAGACTCTTAATGTGGCGCTATTGTATAAGCAAGCACTGGACTATGAACCATAAGATTGGTGTTCAAACCCACCAGCTGCTCCTCAGAAACCCTGTCCAGGGTCACTATGAATTGAAACTAACTCGACAACACTTAACAACAATCCTAAAACTAAAATATTTATGCCCTATGACCAAAAGGAAATGGTTAATGTTCAACCATTTCAAGAGATACCATATGAACAAGAGCCAATGATACTCAGAGAGGAAGTCCAAAGTGCATT